ACAATGAGGTGACATTGTTTTACTCACCCTTCAACCATCGATCATTAAAAGGAAATTTAAAAGTGTAACAAATTACTTTCAACGTACCATGAATAACTCCTAAAAATCCTCTTTCTATCCACTGCAATATTACGGACGTGTTAAATATCATATAGTAATATATGTCTATATTTCCTAACAATTACGTTTTACAGCATCTGTGTGAAAACAAACCTGGAATGAGACATGAGGATTTGAGGAGAAAAATGAAAGATTCTTAGTGCATTCCAGGGAAATATTCATGGTTTATATCCTAAATTAAATTGTGAGAGCAGACCACAAAATGCACAGTATATGTTGTCTTTTTTTATGTACTTACAGTGGAATACAAAGGAATCGTGAAAATAATCAGGAGGAAAATAATGCAGTGGGCTGAAAAGAGCTGTTCTGTATGCTATATATTGTTGTTATATCGCGTCACATTAAAATACCAAACGTAACATTATTGTCCTGACTTCTGAAAACAGAAAAGGAATGAAAATACAGCCCATTCAGTCAAAATTACAGATAAGGATTATTTGCAGCACAATCTTATGATTCAAAATGATTTGTTGCAGTCTTTTTGAGTGGAACTTCCCCAAACCGGAAGTGCCTCCCATAATTTAAAGAGGGGGTACAATGCTGTTTCATGCATTCAGAGTTGTTTACACTGTTAAGGAGTTGGATTCTCATTCTAAACATGGACAAAATTACATACAGAAGAATAAACATACATCACATAATATCAACCACAAAAAAAAATTTCTGTGTTTTGTTGGCATTCGGCGCTCCCTCCAGGAGCTCGGCTGTTTCCAGAGAAAATTGTAAAGCTGTATCTTTCTTTTATAAATATGATAAAACGAAAGACTTTTTGGAGATATGAAGGATGCAGTACTACTCTATAGGTACTCAAGATTAACATGAGATTGGGTGAAACTGTGTGTGTTATGTCCCCTTTAAAACGCAGTAGGCTCGTTATGAAAAAGGTGGATACGGCGCATGCCGTTGTAAAAACTGTGATCCTCACAGCCTCGTTTTCATCCGCGTTAAATTCAATATGGCGTCTAACCTGATTAAGGTCTGTAAAAGCAAAAATGTTACATGCATATGTAAGTAAGTAAATAAATAAATAAGTGTGTAGAGGTGTGGCATGTGTCAAGCTTGGGCGACAGGTTCGATTTTTTTGATAGAGGCCTTGTTTTTTGATTTTTTCCCCCTACTGTTATAAAAATGAAAATCAATGAAACTACACTATCCTTAACTCGTAAAAACGTCAAACAAAAACGACCAAAAACAAAACGCTCATGTCATTCACTGCCACGTCGACAGTAGGCTACGCAATATTTTAATAACAATAATAATGAAACATTATAAAACTACAATATTTGCGTATTGCGTATACAGCAGCCTCTCTTTTATCAATTGCATATGTAGGCCTATCAGTTTCCCTAATTTTAAAGCATAGTGAATGAAAAGCAATTAATAGTCAAGCATAGCCTATACACAGGGCCGTTTCTAGCCAATTTGACGCCCTAGGTGAAATCCCTATTGACCCCCCCCCCCACAAATTATATATAATTCTTTTCAGACACCAGTTGCTTGCCACATTCAAATGGGTTGTCATAGTAACGACAACTAATTTGTGGAGATTCAGTGCATTGAGTTCCACAAATCTGAATGCCTTATTTGTAAATTGACTGTTAAGATAAACATTTTGCACAATCTAGTATCCCGTTAATTATGAATTTATCAGTCTTTTGCAATATTACGTCAATATCTGCATAGAAATATTACGCCAAATAGAAGAAGAAAATCGTGCTATACGCACTTTCATGAGATCGGGTTTGCCTACAACAATTAATTGGTTGGCTATTTTATAAATGGGAATACACCGAATTCATGACAATGTTTACATGCCAGCTACCCGTAAAATGTATAGTGAAAAGAACTATAAAAGCGTCTGGAATGCAATAGAGTAATTTTAAAGCTGTTTTTTAAAGCATTTGCTGCATGGATAAAAAATATAAATAATTAACATATCATACAGAATTGCGTTGCAGCAAATCCTTTAAATTTTAAGGTATTCAGAACAGAGCAACATAAAAATCAGAAAAAGCAGCTATACAATTATAGGACAAAGTTTTCATATATGCCATTATAATTAGTGTTTTATTGTTTAACTGTTCAGAATTATCAAATAAAACGCAAATTATAATCGGGCCTTCCATCAATTATAGTGATGAAAAAATGACTCGCCATCTCTTAATTGGATGTGCCTTTAGAGAGAAATGCACGGATTACATAATGAAAGAGTTTATTTTAATAGGAGTCTATTTTCTATTTGAATTATTTCGTTTTAAAATAGTAATTTAAAGCTTTCTATATATTTTGATCATGTCTGAGTTTAGGTTAATCATTGTGACGCGCTCTTGTTCAAGACCGAGACAGCAGAAAGCGTTTGTTTTCTTTATTTTATAAAAGCAAATATTTGTTGATATTGTGAGTGCACACAAATAAAACTAGCTTTACAGTTTACAGCTTTACAGTTTAGAATGATGTATTACTCTTACCTTTAATGACTGCATATTTTGAGTTTTTTCCACTGTTAGATAAAAATGCAAGTGATCGCGCTGGCGCCTCCATGTGCTGCAGAGCTTCAGCTTCCACTCTCCGCACAAACGATTGGATATGAGTCTAACAGCGCACATTTATATAGGTTAAACATTTAAACTAACATTGTGATATACTTGAACTGTTTTATATATAGATGTTATTTTAGGCAAGTCCTGATGATTTGAGAAGGCTAAATTGATCAAACATAGGCTATAGACTATGATCAATTCACTGTCTGCGGCTGGCCCTTACTTAAAAAAAAAAAAAACTTACATTTAACGAACAGAAAATACTCCAAATGTTTTTCTAAATTTACTTTATAAAAAAACGAAACGAAATATAATCACTTTTCCATTACATACAAAACTGAACTATTTTGATAGCTGAAACAGTAGTATAAGCTTTTTTTGGGAAAAAGGGAAAAAGACGGGCTATATTTGAGACCCGTGCAGGGCTTTAATCCACTTCATCCAACTCTGTTTTGTTCTCATCTGTGAGCATGCTCTTGATATATGTATTTTAGGTGTGTAAATGTATAATTGCCTTTTCATAATTTGTTTCAGTTTTATTTAAATTTGTAGTTAAAACAACTAAAAATAAATGTATTTTAAAGTTTAGAATTAGACAGCACACAGGCTTACGCTGAAAACAACAACGTGGAACCTCAAGGTTGATCTAGGAAAATGTGTGCAAATGTATAGGGCCCCGATCCTATATTTTGCCTGGGGCCCCCAATTCACTAAATCCGCCCCTGACTCTAGCCCAATAATGTTGGGGGATCCAGTGGGGGCGGCAGTCATATTTCAGGGTGACCGTGCCACTCTTTATCACAACCCTGCTAAAAGTGCCAGTACGTGCGCTCATTGGCGCCCCTTCAGCTGGTGACCGCATAGCTCGCCTATGCCTAGAAACGGCCCTGCCTATACATGTGAACACATTCTAAACTTTAAAAAGCATTTCTTCATGCAACTTAAGTTCGTTGAGACAAATAGCTTTGATGACTTCTATTTTTAAATCAATGTGTAAATCAATTGAAATCCAATGTGTAAAATAATGATCAGTAACAAAAAGTCAGTATTTGTGCACATATAGCCAATTGTTGATGTGCATGCACAGTCTCTTAAAAAATCACTGTTATTTTATTCATTATAATATGTAATATAATATATAATTTGAGCTTGTTTTAAGTCTCGGTTGCTGTAAAGAGTCAGTCTTCCTCTGACAAGTCATTTGACGGGACGTGATCTGCGCAGAAGTGCTCGCGCGCTGTCCGTGGTACTGAACACACGAGAAGCCGCTGCTTTCAGTCGGCGTTCTTACTTTTGATAAGAATTTCGTTTTTTATTAATATTCATGTGTTTTTATAACCGTTTTACATTTTGTTAGTTAAATTAACTATAATAATATTTTACATTTATTTTAATATAGGCCTACGTGTTAAACAAACTTCCAAATAGCCTCAAAAATGGTATCAATTATGAAGCGAATTAAAAAAAAGACTCACTCGGAACACATAACTGAGCGACAAATGAACGACAAAAATTGCAGAATTAAAAACTAATAAATTCAGGACTTCATTTCGCTTTTATTAATTAATGCGAGTGTCACATATTATAATTTAGTGCTGGTTGGAAATGGGGTCCTCCTAGTGGCAACAGATGAAAACAAAGAAAGAGGAAAATACTATCAAAAAAATCTCCATCATTACACAATTTTCCATCACATGTTAGCTTATCTATATTATTTTCCACAATGGTGAAGCATAAAGGAAATATGGGCTATTATTTTCCTGTCAAACATTAGTTCCTTATGAAAGGTAAGGTTTGAGCCATTGTCTCATGCATCACATGATCTGTTCTCACGCACATCTCTGAAGTTACAAATACAAAACATAACCGTTCTGAGTCAAGCAAAAATACTTTCTCCGTCCTTTTATTTAATGTATGCTGTTCATGAGTAACAGGCATCATATGACAGATCCTTTACTGTATATAACTCTTGTTCTGTTTCTATTTGGTGCATGCACCTGTTTATTAAAATGAGGGACGAATTCATTTATATATTAAAGGCTATAAGTAGCCTACATATATGATATCAACCAGGTATCTGCAACTGTATGAGGTACATCTTTAAACTATTAAACACACTTTGAACAATATTTTACATCAGCAAATAAACGTTTTGCATTGTAAATATATAAAAAAAATTCCACAGACAGATGACATAGATGTGGCATGCGATCACATATATCCATATGCAACAGCAGAAGTCACGCGTTGAGAGAGAGAGAGAGAGAGAGAGAGAGAGAGAGAGAGAGAGAGAGTGTGTGTGTGTGTGTGTGTGTGTGCGTGTAAAGGAGGAGATTCTCAGTAGTGTTATTTAGTCGTGGATACATTCTTGGATAAATGCACCCGAGACCGACCATCACAACACTTCTGCTCTCTGATTTCATATGAATCAGTCAGACACGCCGCGAGCGCTGGAAACTTCAACCCTGAGATCTGATGCTCAACAGGTTAATTGCGTTTGATCACTTCAAGAGTGCATCTGCACTGATTGTGAGGCTTGCAAATACATCGATGATGGATTTCCAGGCGGTTCTGGGCGATTTCATTCAGCTGTCCGCGCGGAGTGTTTTACTGTCGCTGCTGGTGTGTTTAACGCTCATGCTCTGGCGTCGTTCCGGTCGGCGGCAGCTACCGGGTCCGTTCTCTTGGCCGGTCATCGGTAACGCCGCTCAGCTCGGTACCTCACCTCACTTTTACTTCACCCGGATGGCTCAGAAATACGGCGACGTGTTTCAGATCAAGCTGGGCAGCCGAAACGTGGTGGTTCTGAACGGAGACGCAATTAAAGAGGCGCTAATTAAAAAAGCTGTCGATTTCGCCGGCAGACCCGATTTCGCTTCGTTCCGGGTCGTGTCCAATGGGAAAAGCATGGCGTTCGGTAACTACAGCCAGTGGTGGAAACTGCATCGGAAGATCGCGCACAGCACCGTGAGAAACTTCTCCACAGCCAACATCCACACCAAGCAGACGTTTGAGAAGCACATCGTGTGCGAGATCGGAGAGCTCATCCGCTTGTTTCTGAATAAATCCCGCGAGCTGCAGTACTTCGAGCCTCACCGGTATTTGGTGGTGTCGGTGGCGAACACAATGAGCGCCGTTTGCTTCGGGAACCGGTATTCGTATGATGATGAGGAATTCCAGCAGGTGGTGGGCAGAAATGATCAATTCACTAAGACAGTCGGAGCTGGAAGCATCGTGGATGTGATGCCTTGGCTGCAGTACTTCCCAAACCCAATCAAAACGCTCTTTGACCAGTTTAACGCGCTCAACAAGGAGTTTAACGAGTTCATTGATTCCAAAGTGGCGGAGCACCGCAAGACTCTTTTACTGAGCCTCGTCCGTGACATGACTGACGCCTTCATCTTTGCTCTGGATAAAGGGCCGTCAGGGGCCCCGGGGGTCTTTCTGGATAAAGAATACGTGCCACCGACCATCGCAGACATTTTTGGGGCCAGTCAAGACACTCTATCTACGGCTCTACAGTGGATCATTCTGTTACTAGTCAGGTAATGCGTTTTGTCCACCATAAATTTACATCTTAGGGGGTGACGTCATTTACTCACCCTCAAGTCGTTCGAATGATTATTTCATCATTTTAATACACTAGTCAACATCTGAAGTGGATCATCAAAGTTGCCCTAAAACCAAAATGCGTTGTTGTCTTAGGAAAACGCTGCTCATTGGTCCATGATTTATACTGTGAAGGGAAGGGGGGTTAAGCATATCAAATTTACAGTCGAACTGTAAAACAGACCAATAATAATGATGACTCTTCTTACACTGAGGGGCATATCCTTAATTGTATGCTCTCTAGAATAATTGCTTTTATGTTTTTTTTTGGGAACACCATAAATAAGCACTTTCATCGCATGAAAAAGAGCCGCTGCAATACATCATCTTTTGTGTTGCCCAGAAGAAAGTAAATCTATGGGTTTGGAATGACATGAAGATGAGCGAATGAGGCCAGCATTGTCATTTCTTTGCACTTTTAGTGTGCAATGCGGCAACCCAGAGATTGTCCACAAGAGATGGACGGATCTCAATAACACCAAAGAGCTCTCATGTGTTATGTAACTCTTCCGTGCAGGTATTAGCAGCAACTAATGAGGGCAGGTTCCAGCAACACAAAATTAAATCTGACCCACTAACACTTTTAAACATGTAGGCCACTCTGTGAAACTCAAACACAATGACTGCTTCATGTAGGCTACTAGCACAGATGAGATAAGAGGCCGGGTTTATTTATAAATAGAAGTTATGTGGAATACAATTTCATTGAAATCATCAACCAAATGTAATAATGTTGTTTAGTCTGCCTATTTGCAATATCCATTTTCAGTTCAATCCTTGATGATTAGGTAAACTCAGAAAGTTGAAAATGTTGGTCTTCACTTACATACTTGCAGGTATCCAGAAGTCCAGAAACGTCTTCAGGAGGACGTCGACAAAGTAGCGGATCGCAGTCGTCTTCCAACCATCGCAGACCAGCCTCATCTTCCATACGTCATGGCTTTCATCTACGAAGTCATGCGATTCACCTCGTTCGTCCCTGTAACGATTCCCCACAGCACGACCACGGACACGTCCATCAACGGTTATCCCATCCCTAAAGATACCATCATTTTTGTCAACCAGTGGTCTTTGAACCACGACCCGACCAAATGGGACCAACCAGAGGTATTCAACCCACAGCGCTTCCTGGATGAGGATGGAGCTCTCAATAAAGACTTAACCACCAACGTGCTGATCTTCTCCGTGGGGAAGCGTAGATGCATTGGAGAAGACCTGTCCAAGATCCAGCTTTTCCTCTTCACCTCCTTGCTGGTCCATCAGTGTAGTTTTATAGCAGAAGCTACTCCCAGCATGGACTATCTGTATGGGCTCACGCTTAAACCCAGATCCTTTAAAGTGTCTGTCACACTCCGTGACACCACAGAACTGCTTGAGAGTTTGGTAGGAACGTCTCAGACTCCTACACAAAAGAGACAGAGACCTCAAGTTTGAAGGGAAATCAAAGCATGCAACTTAATTACACTCTTAAAAATAAAGGTGCTTCACGATGCCATAGAAGAACCTTTTTGTCTAAATGGTTCCATAAAGAACCTTTAATATCTGAAAAACCTTTCTATTTGACAAAAGGTTATTTGTGGTGAAAGAAGGTTCTTCAGATTATAAAAAGGTAAGAAAGAGATGGTTCTTTAAAGAACCTTTGACTGAATGGTTCTTTGTGTAACCAAAAATGGTTCTTCTATGGCATCGCTTGAAGAACCTTTTGAAGCACCTTTATTTTTAAGAGTGTACTTTGCCAAATGAAGGTGGCTAAGAAAACAAACACTGAAGAATCTCTCATATCTGCATTATAGCAATACATTTATAGACGTAAAACTCAGGCAAAAACTTTTTTTGCTGGCTCAGAATGAGCTATGGCAATAAAAACACGCCCATTCATTACTGTAACTACATGATGCACTGATTTAAGGTATATTATGCAAGAGTAGCAAAGCAGAAGCTACACAACAGGACACAGCATGGTTTATTCAGACAAATACTAGCTGGTTTCTAAGAGTACTGAGACATCTACATGCATAGCATTATTCAGTCGAGAAGTTTGTGTTACTAATTCTACTTCTTCTAGCTAGTAGATATACATTTAGACTCAGTTATAGAAGATTTGCCCTCATCATGCTTCAATCTTTAAATGCCAACATTTTTTATTAAGTGGTTTAAAGTCAACGTGAAACACTGTTCACAACCATTTTACTTCCATGACATATTTCCGAATGAAACAAGATATTCGATGAGAAAAAACTGGGGTGCAGTAATTGATTTTATCTATTTGAAACTGACTGGATCATGAAAAATCATTAAGTCGTTACATTTTGATCAAAGATTACAGACTAAATAATTAACTTGGACTAATATGCAACACTTAATCAACAATAAATTGGGTTGATTACATTTCATGTTGACTTAAACACATTTAGTTATTATTTTAAATGACTGCATTGACGTACTTAAAGTAAGTAGCATGCAACTTAATTACACTCTTAAAAATAAAGGTGCTTCACGATGCCATAGAAGAACCTTTTTGTCTAAATGGTTCCATAAAGAACCTTTAATATCTGAAAAACCTTTCTATTTGACAAAAGGTTATTTGTGGTGAAAGAAGGTTCTTCAGATTATAAAAAGGTAAGAAAGAGATGGTTCTTTAAAGAACCTTTGACTGAATGGTTCTTTGTGTAACCAAAAATGGTTCTTCTATGGCATCGCTTGAAGAACCTTTTGAAGCACCTTTATTTTTAAGAGTGTACTTTGCCAAATGAAGGTGGCTAAGAAAACAAACACTGAAGAACATTATAGCAATACATTTATAGACGTAAAACTCAGGCAACATTTTTTTTTGTTGGCTCAGAATGAGCTACGACAATAAAAACACGCCCATTCATTACTGTAACTACATGATGCACTGATTTATGGTATATTATGCAAGAGTAGCAAAGCAGAAGCTACACAACAGGACACAGCATGGTTTATTCAGACAAATACTAGTTGGTTTCTAAGAGTACTGAGACATCTACATGCATAGCATTATTCAGTCGAGAAGTTTGTGTTACTAATTCTACTTCTTCTAGCTAGTAGATATACATTTAGACTCAGTTATAGAAGATTTGCCCTCATCATGCTTCAATCTTTTAATGCCAACATTTTTTATTAAGTGGTTTAAAGTCAACGTGAAACACTGTTCACAACCATTTTACTTCCATGACATATTTCCGAATGAAACAAGATATTCGATGAGAAAAAACTGGGGTGCAGTAATTGATTTTATCTATTTGAAACTGACTGGATCATGAAAAATCATTAAGTCATTACATTTTGATCAAAGATTACAGACTAAATAATTAACTTGGACTACTATGTAACACTTTATCAACAATAAATTGGGTTGATTGCATTTCATGTTGACTTAAACACATTTAGTTATTATTTTAAATGACTGCATTGACGTACTTAAAGTAAGTTTTTTTGTTCAGTTGTTGCTTAGGGTACTTTAGCTCAAACTAGCCTTATGCTGCATTTTTAACCTCCTTATATAAAGTTCATAAAATCAGACATTTGTACAGTATAATCTTACAGCACTTTATTGTTCTTGATAATATTTCCCGATTCTTACTACAGCATTGCTGAAGTCTGTGCCTTATTATTAGAGACTTCTTAGCATTAATCTATAATTAAAATAAACATAGGCGGGTTTAACACAGTTCACTTCCATTGTGTTCCCGCAACATCCTTCCCAATCAAATATTGTCTGGAGATCCTCACAGTGGGTCACAGGAAGTCTCCAGTGAAACTATTCTGAACATCTATGTTTATTATAAGTTGAATGTGATATTTCATATCTGGCACATGATGTTGTGTAGGCGACAGGAAATAAATTTTGTGTCCCTCGGGACCCTTCTAGTTAGGGGAATCCTGAAGGGGAAATTCAGGGTTTGTTAACTAACATGTATAAAATGTTACGATTACTAATTTTTGCTCATTTCTAACTGCTACAATATATTTTTGAACTGTAATAGCGATATTTGATCTGCTGGAATATATTTTTAGACTGTAATAGCACTTGTTAATAGACTGCTGGCCTGTATTAGATCTACTATATTGTATATGCAAAAGATTGATATGTAAGTTTGATATGTAGTTCCTATTATGTGATACCAACATGTAATATTATATTTTTCTACTTCATATAAGCTCTGACATTTGGCTGCTCTGTGAATTCTAAACTGCATTCAGTTTACAGTTTTTGTAATTAAATTTAGTGGCTTATATAATATATATATATATATAACACTAAATAAATATACAAGTGACCCTTCTAGTTAGGGGAATCCTGAAGGGGAAATTCAGGGTTTGTTAACTAACATGTATAAAATGTTACGATTACTAATTTTTGCTCATTTCTAACTGCTACAATATATTTTTGAACTGTAATAGCGATATTTGATCTGCTGGAATATATTTTTAGACTGTAATAGCACTTGTTAATAGACTGCTGGCCTGTATTAGATCTACTATATTGTATATGCAAAAGATTGATATGTAAGTTTGATATGTAGTTCCTATTATGTGATACCAACATGTAATATTATATTTTTCTACTTCATATAAGCTCTGACATTTGGCTGCTCTGTGAATTCTAAACTGCATTCAGTTTACAGTTTTTGTAATTAAATTTAGTGGCTTATATAATATATATATATATATAACACTAAATAAATATACAAGTAAAAAATGTTTCATTACTCAAGCTTTTATGATAATAAATGCAGTATAATATTGCAGTCATTTGTAATCAAATTAGTTTTGACAGTGTTTTCATCCTCCTGCAACACCTAGACACAATGTGATTATGTAAAACACAACTTCTCATTTGTTGTATTCAAACAGGTTACCCTTAAAATAGTGGCAAGTAAAAATAACCATTCTAAATTTATTGCACACATCATATCTGCACACAGCCACTCAATTGGGCATTTCAAATAGAAGGAAAGTGTGTAGGATATACCCGTCCCTGCGCAGTGCTTTATCTTGCTTTCCCAGCACATCCTGTTCTGATCAAGCCTGAGGATTGTAGCCAGCCGAGCTCTGAGTGCGTGACAAGTCCAGATAAAGCCAACTGATTACTGATACGCCAGCAGCCGCCTGCTCACCTTCCAGGCCCTGCTGAAGAAAAGAAAACACGCTTCACTATTGTTTGATTAACAGTACACTAGATCTCTGAAAAAAAGCTATAAAGCTGTCACTGGGATTGCACCCTAAGATACAAATGTTAAAAGGTATGTTTGCACCTTATTTAGCTCTAAATAGTACCAATTAATACCGTTAGAAAGCATACCACCCCAGTGACAGATTTGTGTACCTTTTTTCTAAAATTGTAGGATTGTCGCAGAAATGTTTTCACCAAGGAAATGAGGGAGTCAGTGCATCCTTAAAAAAGCCAGATGACAAAATAATCAGCAGTAATAAAAACTAAGATGCAATGAAATAAGTAATGTTTAAATCACTTGGCTTTCTTGATGTGACACTAAGTTTTCTTTTTAATTTGAAAAAAGTTTCATTTTCATTAATTGTCATGTTTGGGGTCTTAATTTAAGTTCTGAATGCCGTTCCCATTCATCAAATAATTCATTAAAAAAATGATCAGTTTTCGTAAAATATTAAACAGCAATTCAACATGTTCAACATTGATAAACAATATTCTAAATCAGGTTTTATTGTTATATTTTCAGTTTTCTTTTTAATTTTAGTTTTCTTTTTAGTCATTTTGTTGTGTGTTTTGGCCATTTGAATTATTACTTTTTAATATTACTATTTTTTAATTATTTTGATTTAAGTTTTAGTTACATCTCAGTTTTATTTTTTTATATAAGGAAACACTGGAGATAAAAATAATTGCATAAATTGCTAAGGCAATATTATTTATATTGCTTGCTCTGCTTTCAGTTCTATAAGTCTTCATTAAGATCAAATCTAGAAGAGACCTCCATCCAGGTCATGTCCTGCGGGCATTATTTCTGTGCTGTACGAGAGAACAGACTTGCATACATTAGGTAATGAGACACTATAAAATGGTTTTCAGTTCTTGAGGATGAACAGTTGTACTGTTATAAGATACTTCCACACACAGAGGTGTAAAATGTACAGAGAAATTACAATGAAATTAAATTAAAGTAAGGATACCATATTAGCCTTTACCCTCTTTATCTTTGCTGTGATGACAAAATATGCCTCTTCGACAAATCTCTTTCTACCTTTCAAAAGTCTGGGGTCTGTATGTCTTGCATACTTTTATTCAGCAAGGATGCATTCAATAAATTAAACTGACTCTAAAGACATGTATAATGTTACAAAAAAATATTTGCTGTTTCCATATTTCAAATAAATGCTGTTCTTGTGAACTTTGTATTGATCAAATAATCCTGAAAAAAAATGCATCACAGTTACAACTATTTTGAACATTGATTATAAGAATTATTTCTTGAGCAGCAAATCAGCAGATTAGATTGATTTCTGAAGGATCATGAAATAACCATCAAACACAGTTTCCTAATACTAAATATTACTATTATTTATATAAAATATTTATTGAACAATATTTAATAAACAACAACAGCCATCATAAAAGTTGCTAGGCAATTCAGTCAAAAGTACAAAGGCAGCGCTCTGATATACAGCATTGAAGTTACATAAACATGATGAGATATTGCCAAAACTATTTGTTCTGGAACAAATAATAGATTAATGAGACCAAAGACTGCCGGTTAGATTTACTCAAAACTAAATATATCTCATGTTTAGCCACTATAGATACATCAGAGCCAGAGATAAATTCCAGAAGATCTGGCTGAGGTAAGACTGCTCTTGGTGGGTTCATGATCGCTGAACGGCCGCTGACGGCCGGGAGCTCACATCTCCGAAAACGTCGAAGCAAATTTTCAAATACATGTTATCTTTATTAACAAACCGCATATTTGAAGTCCAAACAAGTACATTCTCGACTAAAAAAAAACTCTTAAAACTATACTGACACAGAAAAACAGTATTATTCTTAAATGATAGTGGATTTGACACTCACTTTGAGAAATACGGCAAGCGGAGTGATACATGATACAAACGGTGAAGTGGTTGGAGGCAAGTATACCCGGCTGCAGCCTGCAAAATGGGGTGGGGCTGCACCTGGGGTGGCGCTACATGCATCACCCCACCCACAAAAGGGTTCATTGGCTTATGACGAGTAATGAGCTCTGTTATTACTCTAACATCGCACTCTTATCAGCCAATCAGATTCGAGAACCAGACAGAACTGTTGTATAATTGTAAACATCATACTTTTTTTCACTTATTTTTAGTTAATGTCATAAAACTAGCGAGCTAATCCAGTAGCAGTCACGTAAACATGGCTGAAGATGCGAAAAACCAGGAACAGAGAAACCGATTCAACTGATTGAGTCATTTACGCAATCTCCAAGTAAGACAATCTCTGGATACAAATGGCGAAACGGTTATTACTAGAATATCACACCTCTAGAAAAGGCTCTCAGCCAATCAGAAATTAAAATTAATTAAAAAAAACTGTTTTATAAATTGCAATAATATTTTCGCAATATTACTGATTTACTTTATTTTTGATCAAATAAATGGAGCCTTAGCAGGCATAAGAGACTTCTTTCAAAAACATTTAAAAATCGTACTGACCCCAAACTTTTGAACACTAGTGTTAATATAACTGCAAAAAGAAACGATAATAACAAAACTAATAGCCAAAAAGCATTATGAATAAATGCAGACCACCTCAGGTACCTTTGGTTACATGATGTGAATCCACATAAAACATGTCGGTACAGAAGAGTCTCTGATCGGAAGCTGTTTGCTGCTGAAGACATGCTGTGGTTCTGATGTAAGGAAAGGCAGATGTCCAGACATGTAAAGGTTATTTCTGTTATGTGTGTTAAGTCCGTAGGAGTGCCCTGTAATATCATTGCTTGACACCTGAAAACCAGCCCTTCCATGTCTTCCCTATATGGTTGGCTTCTTTCTGAACAATAGTATACAGGTATATTACTGACTGAGAACTATCGGACCTACATTTATGAAGTTAAAAGTGAAGTGTATAAATTCTATGCCACTAAACAGAACTGCATAAATAAAAATAATGACAATTATCACAGTTGTCATTCAGAGGATTTGGAGTAGGCTACAGTGCCACTAAAGCTGCAGAAATAAGGACTTCGCTTTTAACACTGAAAGAAAGAAACATGAAACAGTTAGCAATTATGCCACACCAATAGCATAAAAAAAATTATGATCAGCGTACAACACGCAGACTGAATTCACCTTATTGTATATATATTGTATTGAGCAGCAGAGATGAAGTGATGATCTTCATATGCACCATTACAATCTCAATAATCACCAATAATCTAAAAGGTAGCATACAGAGAGCAAGTGCCATCATTTCAACATAAAAATGCTTACATTCATAATGCTGGATACCAACAAATGATATTAAAACAATTTTAGCAATACCATGAGGGAAAAAAATTACATTAGACTTGCATGGTCCCCATAATTTCTCTGGGATTTAGAAATCATTTTTGGTCAAAAAAGAATGTCTAGGGATTAAAATCTACACAAGTCATTTGAGTTATTAAATTGAACTACAAAAATATAACAGTCCACAGAGAGAATGTGATTAACAAGATTAAATCCAGATGAAGTTGTTCAGGTGTTCTTAATCAAAATGGCAAAAGACTGCATTTTGGGGTGGCTCGTGCTATTAAAGGTTAAACATTTTTGACAGGTTTTCATTTTTGCAATTTCATCTCAGCAGCTTTTTTGGAAGAACTTACCATTAAATGTGCCAAAGTTCTTCTAAAGGTTTGTTTCAGACACTTTTCAAGAGGTTTATAGTCATACTGTGTTGTAAGTTATGTCTATGAAATAATCATTAATAATTTTGGATTAACAAAAAGAAATTCTAATTAGAAAGTTCACAAACATGCCTCTAAAAGTCTTACAAAAACAAATGGAACTGTCAACGCATGCTTTTAATGCCAACCGGACTGATCTTTCTTGCTTCAGTATTGGTCAGAATTAGTCACAATTGCACCAGACTTCATGCTAATAGTCAGATTTACTCATCTTCAGGCTATCCAAGATGTAGATGAGTTTGTTCTTTATCAGATTTTGAGAAATTATAGCATTCGAGGACCTGCTCACCAAAGGATCCTTTGCAGTGAATGGGCACCGTCAGGATTTATGTCTTATGAAGTGAAAAGCTGCATGTTTGTAAGTAACAAATCCATCATTAAGACGTCATTTATGGCTAAAATAATAGTCCTCCATCCGTAATATTGCTTTTTACAATGAAAAAGTAATCTCATCTGAATCAGGAGAGAAGTATGCATAGATTTCAAGAAAAAACAGTGGGTGTACTTTGATTTGAGAGGACAACAGGGGATGGACTTTTTTACTAGAGGAAGCGTTATTTTGAATGATAGACTCAATGATGGTACAGTTAAAGTGTCTTAATGATGGATTTGTTTCTTACAAACTTGTAGCTTTTGACTGATGGACAGGAATAGTGTTGTTTACTTGTGGATTATTGTGATGTTTTTATCAGCTGTTTGGACTCATTCTGACGGCACCCATTCACTGCAGATGATCCATTGGTGAGCAAGTGATGTAATGCTAAATTTATCCAAATCTGTTTTTAAATGAAGAAACAAATTCTTCTACATCTTGGATGCCCCGAGGGCGAGTAGATTTTCAGCAAAATTTCATTTTTGAGTGTAATTCATTCTAAATTCATTTCAACAGCAGCCACTGATGGTCACTGCGGTTTCAATAGGTGACAGCCACATTGTGTATTGCAACTATTATGATGTCTATAATGTTGTGTGTGTGTGGGGGGGGGGGGGGTGGGGGGCCGACGACAAAAAAAAATAAAATGGAAACTGTCCTGCAAAACACAGAGTATTGTGTGCATAAACTAAAAATAAACAATATTTTGCTGCTGGTCTCCCCTTTAATAGAGGAATAACGTGGCCTGCCCAACATTAGTAGTTCATATGTTGGTTTGTGGGTAAACAGCTACAGTCCAGTCACAGTTGAGTTCAAAGAGACGGAACACAAAGACAGACAGCTTTTGTTGGAGACTTGTTAAAGTGATGCAACAAAAGAGTCCAATTCCTTCTGTGCCTCCTCATCCTTTAAAGAAAACACACACACACACACACACAAAAAAAAAGAATTACAAAGGCAAGAGACTCGAACTACTAAAAAAATCTGATTCATTAGAATAAGAAAACACCTCTTTAGTCTGAATGTTCATTGCAGAGGCAGCGTCACACATCTGTTGGGCTTGACTCCTCTGACCCAAGTCTTTGTAACACTGACAAGAGAAAAGTGATATAGGCGCAGTTACATTAACACATTACAATGTTCTCAATGTTCCTTAAATGATTTACTGGCTCAGTTTCAAAATCTAGTGCACTGCCCAAGTAGAAAGTAGAAGTGTGTTGCATACTTATGTCAGATTATCTAAAACTCAGTGAGAAAAAAAAATGCATTCACAGAAGTTGGTGGAAGCCATTAGAGAAATGTCAATTATATACAGTACTACCATTCAAAAGTTAAGATTTTTCAACGTTTTTTTTTTTTAAAGAAGTCTCTTAAATCTCACCAATGCTACATTTATTTGATAAAAATACAGTAAAACAGTGATCATTTTAAATATTATTACGATTTAACTGCTTTCTATTTTAATATATTTTTTATTGTTTTTTAATGATGAAAACAGCTGTGCGCCTTGTGGGAACCATGAAACATTTCCACAAGCTTTTACAAGATTCTATGATGAATAAAAGTTGAAATGTGCCCTTAATGCATCCTTGCTCAAAAAAATTATTTCCAGTAAATAAATAAAATAATTACTGACCCCAAATTTTTTAACTGCAGAGTGATTAAAAATAATGAGATAAAAATAGTATTTAGCAAACATTAGCTGAGTGTGCCTGCAAAAATACAGAAACATTATCCCACTTCTGTAAACTTTAAATGTGGATTTGACATGTTATTAAAATGTAACCATTACAAATAATTTAGGAGATTTCAGTTTTTCTTTAAAGTACATTAACACTTAATTATTAATATTTGTTAAAGGGGTCATATGATGCGATTTAAATTTTTCCTTTCTCTTTGGAGTGTTACAAGCTCTTGGTGCATAAAGAAGATCTGTAAAGTTGCAAAGACTAAAGTCTCAAATCCAAAAAGATATTCTTTATTAAAGTTAAGACTTGTCCATGCCCTCCTAAAACGCCTCGTTTAAACATGTCTACGTCACTGTGTGGGAAGATTTGCATAACGCCACCCAAATGTTCACGCAAAGAAAGGCGGCGTAACTTTTATGCTCGCTGTAGTATTGGTGTTGCCGCCGGCGCCATGTTGTGGATATGCTGTGTGTTTTGTTGTGAAAGCGAAACTACTTTGTTTGGCCTACCAAAAGAGGACGATATCTGCTTCATCATGCCTAGAGCTGATCCGTGCTGGTCGCTGAGGAAATACATCAACTTAGTGCTGTGGATCACCGGATCGGCTTTCACCGTGGACGAAGCAGAGTCCAGCCAGGGGGCGTCACATGTGGTTGCCGCAAGCCTCCTTTGTCGAATCCTCCGGGCGCCGCTCACTCAAGCCGCTGTGTTTCGTTGTGAAAGAGAAACTACTTTGTTTGGCCTTCCAAAACAGGACATAATGTTTCTATAAAGTGGGGCAATTCCAACTTTGCAAGGACAGTCTGGCGCTTCTGACTCACAGCCTGTAAAGAATTTGCCACTGATGATTCAAACGCGAGTTTGAGCAGTGTAGAGTAGCGCTTTATTGTTTGTTGTTTCTCCGATCACAAATGCAGACATGGTTTTATGTTTACGCGGCGCAATACGCAATGCAAAGCGTAAAAACACAGTATAAGTCATTACAATCAGTAATTATGTCCCCACTGGATGCAACAAATGCCTCGTTTGTAATGGGTTTGTCTCGTCGCGCCGGGACACATGGAAACCGTATGATGGAAGCACAGTATGGTAAGGGGCGTAACATTTGTCTCACGCTTGAGGTATTCAGCCAATCACAGCACACCTCGCTTTTCAGAACGATGAGCTTTGTAAAAATCTATGCATTTCAGAAAGGCGGGGCATAGAGGAGAAACAATAATGTACAGTATGTGGAAAATAATGTGGTTTTTTTTACCTTAAACCGCATAAACACATTGCATTACACCAAATAATGTTCTTTTTAGCAACATCATATGACCCCTTTAATATACTTAATTCAGTTATGCTCAGCAAGACTGGATTTATTTGATCAAAAATACAGGAAATACTGTGAAATATTATTACAATTTAAAATAACTGGTGAAACATTTCATATTATTACCAATGTTGATAAATTATTTGCAGTTTAATATTTTTTTGTCAAAGCCATGATACTTTTTTCAGGATCCTTTGATGAATAGAACATCTTAAAAAAAAAAAAAAAAAAAAGTTCAAAATTTATTTGAAATCACTTTGTTACAAGTAGAACATTCTATATTGGTTAATATTTAATTTTTAACTATATTAAATAAACTATATTTAATATAGTTAGGATGCTGCTTTGGAAGGTAGCTGTCTATGTAGGTGGTTTTCAGCAAGGCAGCTCACTAGGTTTGGAATGGAGCCAACAATATTCCCAATGTCATCATTAATCGATATTCAGTTCATTAAAAAAATAGTCAAGACCTGAAGTCATTACCTTGGCTAAAAACACATAGTTGAATTTTGAATACTTGGGACTGATCTCTTCTACCTGTAGAATCAAACACAGGACAAACATAGCAAATGCAATCTGTCATTCACAGTCAAACTGAAATTATTTATTGACTACAGACTGCTGATGTCCAAACACAGACTGTTTATGTAACAGATCTTTTGCATTTCAGGTGTAGTTAATTAAATGAGATCATGAAAAACACATCTCTCTTGAAAGAAGGACTGCACTGCTGGCAGGCAAACGTTTTCAAACAATTTGCGTGTTAAATGAGATATTAAAAATTAACATTGCAGGCAGTAAACCTCCACTCTATAATCAGAGCAATAAATAACAGTGTCGACATTTACGAGACTTACACAATCACACAAAATATAAACACTGCAGCAGCCACATATATGAGGTTATGTTTTTGACAAAGTAAACTCTACAGGGTTCCTGCACCTTTTGATAAACAGATTTGTAATGTTTTTTTACATAATTTTTCAGCTATTTATGATTATTGGATGAGGATTTTACAAAGAAAATCCTAGGGCTTTTTCCTCATATTTCTAGGTTTTCCTTAATTTTCTTTAGATTTAAAGTCTTTTTTTAAGTCTTTCTTTAGTTTTAACTTTAGTTCTTACCCACTATAGCAGAAACAAATAAATAAATAACTTGTATTTTAAATTGTACATCTAATATTTGATATGGCTTCTGGGGTTCCTCTTGGGAACGTTGCAAACAAAAACCAAGAGCTAAATATAATTTTTGGAACAACTATTATTCATGACAGCACATTTGGTGGTTAGATTTGAGAAAATTACACTGCCAAAAATCATACACATATACTACCATTCAGAAGTTTGGGGTTGGTAAGATCTTTTGGGGAAAAAAAGGGTTATTTGTTTTTTTATATAATTTTATACTCACTAAAGCTGGATTTATTTGCTTAAAATACATTAAAAACAGTAAAATTGTGAAACAGTATTACAATTTAAATTAGGGATGCACCGATATGAAAATTTTGGCCGATACCGATAACCGATTATTCTTTATTTTTGAAAGCCGATAACCGATATGTTGGCCGATAAATCTATATCCAAATTGTTATATACTTTTTGAGAGCCTGATTACAAAAAAGGTCTCATCATTAAAAGCCACATCCCAAACACTTCAACATAAGCAGCCTAGTTTGAACGGTGTACGTTTTAAAAATATTTTTACTCTCCCATTACCAAATTTAGTCATAAAGTCTTACAAATAAATAAAATTATGCATAAATAATGCAAACAAGTCACTGGACATCATTACACGTGTAAAGAATCAAAATGAATGCGCCATAGATCAATAAAACGGAATAGCCTCTGCACGGACAATAATTAAATGATTTTAATTACTAAACCATATTGTTGATGAAAATAATAAGAGAAAAATACAAGTGGTTGTTGTTATTAATAATATATCAATGATTTTGAAAAAGTAACAAATTAATACCACTGTTTTAAATAGCAGCCGTTGAGCTGCGCGTGCTGAAGCTGAAGAGCTGAATGAACATGGTAAACTGAAGCGTTTTGCTGGCAGCTTATTTAACTCAAGGAAATGCATCCTGAGATTAATATTAATACAACATAAACATAATATTACAACTTATATATGTACAAAATGATGCAGTTATTGCGTGCTATAGTCAGACTGTGTGATCCTGTTGTGGATGCGCTCTTCCCATATCAACGCGCTGAAACACAGCAACTAAACCCAAAGAATACACAACGTTTGATTATAATAATGTTCTCATTAGAATGTTATATACACGACATTCCCAATCATAGTTATTAATGTTGTGCACTGCTGTTTGAGCTGCGTGTGCTGAGCTAAAGATGATCACCGGTAAACTGAAGCGCTCTTTTAACTTAACCAAACGCATTCTATATGAGATAAATCAGATATACATCAAATAAACACAATATTACAATGTACAATTGCACAAAAGGCTGCAAACGAACAGCGCGCATCTGAAGTGTCTCTGAAGGAAATAATGCATTATTTATCGGCTTTAAGATATCGGCCAAATTTTCTTATCAGGCCGATACCGATAACAGACAAAATGAGCCGATATGGGCCGATACCGATATGGTGGCCGATATATCGTGCATCCCTAATTTAAATTAATCACTTTTCTTTTAATATATTAAACATAAAATGCATTTTATTTATCAATGTTAAACGGTATACTATGATGAATAGAAAGTTCAAAAGAACAGCATTTATTTGAATTTTTTTATTTATTTATTTGAATTTTGCAAATGCAAAAGTCTTCGCATTTGATGGAAATGTCTTTGACCCATTTAATGCATCATTGCTAAATAAAAGCATTCATTTCTAAAAAAAATTAAATAAAATTTGAACTGTAGTGTATGTGCACATTTCAATTTAAAACCAAATGCATTTCCAGCTTTCACTCTTTTATGAAAGATTTCCACTAGATGACATTTCTGCATGAACCTCACTTTGTAAATTATAATGCAGTACCATGTATGTTACATTCAACTAAAAAAGCCTAAGGAGATCATGGCTGTACTGATGCTTGATTTTATGCACCTACTGTACTAGTAATAGGTGTAGCTGCAACATTACTGTAAAGGGGGTTTCCACATACTTTTGGCCATGTAGCATGTAAAGCTGGATTCTGTCTGAAGGTGGATCACTCAGTAAGTGAATGAAGAGACAATACATTATTTGGTCATAAGCTGTTGGTATATTTCAGTTTTTTTGCACAAAATTAGACTATTCATGATTAATGACGAAGACATTCCCCATGTCTTTCCTATAATCAGTCGTGCTGTTGTATAACTCTCCAGAACGTTGTGCTGTCTTGGCAGGGTCTAACAAGTCTAAGCACAGACCCCTTAAATAAGAAGTGATGGCTGAGATACAAAGGACAGGAGAACATCAGAGGAGAGAGCAACTTATGTTAAATCACTGAATGTAAGAACACAGGTCAAGCGCTTCCAGAAATGAACAGGGTTTGTCATTTAAACTAGGATCTCTAAGACAAATCCCTCTACAGCAAGACATAAAAAAATGTCTACCTACAAATTGGTAGAAATTTAACAAATAAGTCAAATAAAAATAGGTCATATTTGCTATAAAACCGATTTTAATCTTAAATAACTTATTTTGTGATTATAGTCGATTTGTTATTTGGTAGCTCTTATCAGCTACCCAAATATTCATGACAAACTTCATATATTTATTCAACTGCTTGGCCTCTAAATAAAGAGGCCCTTTACACAATCAATCACTAGTGTGTCCCAATGATCAAAGGCACGTCTCACCTTGAGGAAGTTCTGCAGGGCATCCTGGACTGTGGCACTGGGTGGCTCTCCAAACAATGTAGCAGCGATTTTCCTCTCTATCCACGTACATTGTGACACCTGCACACAACATGTTTATGGACAAAGTAAAAAAGAACAATAACTCCATTTATCAACATACAGATAGGCCTATTGGCTGAATAAATTAATTAATAAAAACTATTTATATTAAAATCATTAAAGGGGTCATATGATGCAATTTCAAGTTTTCCTTTCTCCTTGAAGTGTTACAAGCTGATTGTGCATAGATAAGATCCCTTAAGTTAACAAAGACTAAAGTCTCAAAACCAAAGAGATATTCTTTATCAAAGTTAAGACTCTGCCACACCCCCCTAAAACGGCTCGTTCTAACACGCCCCCACATATCTACCTCACTATGTGGAAATATTAGCATAATGCCGCCCAAATGTGCACGCAAAGAAAGAAGGCATGGTTTCACTAACCGCAGTTGGTTGAAGCAGCCATGTCAGGGAGACGCTGTGTGTTTCAGTGCGAAAGCAAAAGCACTTTATTTGGCCTTCCAGAAGTAGATGCATTTAGGAATCTTTAAGATTACTTACAACAGAACAGCAATGCATTTTATGGACGACCGTTTCGTGAACCTAGGAGAGGAGGTAATTCTGACTTTGCTATGACAATCTGGCGCTTCTGAATCAGCTACTGTTTTATTAGTTTAAGTATTTGCTATTGAGTGTTCAAATGCGGAGTATTGCGCATCGTGTGTGTGTGTGAGAGAGAGAGAGAGAGGTGTGTTTTTTTTCAGGATTCTTTAGTGAATAGAAAATTCAAAGAACAGCATTATTTTAAATTTTTCTAAAAAAATGTTCTTTTTATGTATCCTTACTAAATAAAAGTACTGATTTCTTTTTTAAAATAAACAATTTCTTGATGAAAATAAAAAATAAATAAAAAAAATTTGGGGCTTGGAAAACTCATTGGTCAAACATGTTTAAAGATCGCTGTGCTGCAAAAAAAAAATCCTTTTTTATTTCAGTAATTTTTTTTGCAAAAAAATTTCTCATGCAATCTAGATTTTCAAGTAAATTGACTTGTTTTCAGTGAATATATATATATATATATATATATATTCACTGAAAACAAGTCAATTTACTTGAAAATCTAGATTGCATGAGAAATTTTTTTGCAAAAAAAATTACTGAAATAAAAAAGGATTTTTTTTTTGCAGCACAGCGATCTTTAAACATGTTTGACCAATGAGTTTTCCAAGCCCCAAATTTTTTTTATTTATTTTTTATTTTCATCAAGAAATTGTTTATTTTAAAAAAGAAATCAGTACTTTTATTTAGTAAGGATACATAAAAAGAACATTTTTTTAGAAAAATTTAAAATAATGCTGTTCTTTGAATTTTCTATTCACTAAAGAATCCTGAAAAAAAACACACACTTTCCACAAATATTAAGAAGCATTCAACATACAGCAAATTAGAATGATTTCTGAATAATTTAGTTTGATACTGTAGACTGGAGTAATGCTTTAATATCCCATCAATAAATTACAACTTTTAAATTATGCTGAAATTGAAAGCAGTTCTTTTAAATTGTAATATTTCTGTTTTTACTAGACTTATGATTAAATAAATGCAGTCTTGGTGAGCATAAGAGAGACTTTTTTCAAAAACATTAAATCTTTTCAACCTCAAACTTTTGAATGGTAGTGAATATTATTCACTATAGAAATTGATATTAATTTTTTATATATATATATATATATATATATAAAGTTTGGCCTTTCAGACTTTGAAACAAAGAAAAAAATAATTTTTTTTTGATATTTCCAAGCTTTCCATGAGCGTGGGAAACCTGATTCAGGCTTTAACTATACCACAATGTCATGAATATTCCAAACACACTAATAGCAAATGCTCTGTCACTCACAGCATAACACCAGCGGCCCAGCAAGTAATACGACAGAGGATCTTCAGGTTTCAGCTCAATTGCTTTATCCAGATGATCCTTGAGACATAGAGCAAGAGAAAGAAAGAGAGATAGAGGTTTCTTTCTATGTGGCACGACTTGTCTTTTTTGCTGATCTCTACAGCTGAGATACCACAAATATTTCTCCGGAACTCGCACAAACACAGAAAAACCCACCACAGGCATCTGTCATTCAGCTCCTCTCTCTCTGCTAGCTCACCTGCCAGGGCTGTGCAGGTGTGTGGTGTTTGGAAATCTAGCTGACAGCTAACATAAAATGCTACATGTATCAGAGACTGATCTGCTCTTATGAAATACGTGTGTGTGTGTGTGTGTGTGTGTGTGTGTGTGTGTGTGTGTGTGTGGGGTACCCTAATTTCCTTCCCTCTCGTCTCGATTATAAACACTAACTCTCACAGAAGCTGATGCTATGCTCCCATCAACACATACAAGCACTGAAATCAACTGAAACGACCTTTTGGCTGAGATCACCATATCATTTACTGCCCTTTAACTCTTCTCTACATGAAGCACAGGAATAAATGTGTCAATAATTAAAAGTGGAAGTAACTACTTCCATATGTTGACATCAGCCTAGCGGTAAACGGTCCATCTGAACTGCTCAAATATTCTGCTGTCTGTATTTAAGCTTTAAACATCCTGGACTGAAAATATACAGGGGGGAAAATGTGTATTTGATATATATACATATTTATTATTAAGTCTAATGTTCTAAAACCTAGCAATTAATAAGTGGGAGAACTTGCACAATTGGTGGCTGACTAAATACTTTTTTGCCCCACTGTATTTGTCTACACATTTGACATCCAATCAAAACATAAGAAACGTGAGCATTGTGTAAAGAACAAATATGCATACTCACCTTAAAAAGATAACCATTTTTTATTTTATTCTGAATAGATTCATATTCTGACAAGAGCCCACAGAGTATAGCATACCTATGCAGAAATAGACAAACCGAGAGAGAAAAGAAAACAGTAATTAGTAATATATGAATAGAAGCTATGCTATATTCCATTAATTAAAAGAGTTTACATCATTTGTGTAGACAGTGGAAAAAAACGAATTTGAAGGATAGGAACCATCGAACACTATGAAGGATTGTGTCCAAACAACACCGATCTACTGCAGCAAACCTCAATATTCACCTTGACGACCCCGTTTCCACAAAAACCAACCACAGAGAGCTTCACAAAGCCATCCATCCATCGGTTTTATCAAAGCTGCAACTGATAAACCTTCAATCTCAGACACCAATGTTAAAATGCAAAAACGATGGTGTCACGATCATAAAACCTGGACAGTTGGAGCACCAAAATGAATTTCGACATCTGCTCTGGCCAGATAAATCACCTGGCTTGAATATTATCAAACCTCTATGGATAGTTTTGGGGCTCTATCATACACCCGGCGCAATGCGGTGCCAGGTGCGACAAGTGTTTTTTGCTAGTTTAAGCCCGACGCAGTTGTCATTTTCACATCCTGCACCACGTTGTTTAAATCACAAATGCATTTGTGCGCCTATGGGCATGTTGGTCTGAAAACGAGGTGGTGTTCATCAGGCGCATTGCTGGCGCGTTGCTATTTTGAGGCAACTGAAATAGACTGCACCATTGACCAACAAAAACCTGGTCTAAAGTCTGGCACAATATTTTTTTGTTGTTATTAAAACTGTGCGTTAGTAACATGCGCCTATAGACGGGTGCACAACGCGCGTACACTTTTCTTATTACACACACAGAGACATGCAGCAGCACAAACATTTTTAAAAATGTAAATTGTAAAAGATTATTATTGTGTACATAAATATAAAAATGCCTACATGTCATAATGGATAGTCTTTGCATGTATCAGAAGTACGCGCACAAGCAGATCCGTTCCCTCACTAGAGAAGCGTTCCGTTTTTCCGCCATGAAAATAGCGAATCCGCCATGGCACGAGCGCAACTGGCTTTTAAAGGTAATGGGAGATGAGACTCTGATTGGTTTATGGCATGTTACGCCCAAAACACACCCATTACTCATTAAGAGAATAGGGACAACCTTTTTAGACCATGCACTGGGCACGCCGACCATTTTTCCTGTCCTTAAACTAGCAAAAGTGGATGCGGACACGCCCTAAGTGCACCTGTGCCATGCGCTTAATGCCGAGTTCACACTGCACGATTTTCAAACTTGTCGGATCGCCGTTGTTTTCACACTGCGTGACTATCTGGGGTAGTACAACTATTCAGTTGCTGCTGTGTTCACATTGCACGATGGATCGGCGACAGGGGGTTTAACACTGCATGACTTCACAACAGGAAGAATCGCCGACAGCTCTGTCTGGTCCGCAAACTACGTTTCACAACAAAACACACGCGAGAAGTGATGAGGAAATAACATGAGAATCCACGTGCGTCAGACCGGAGTTCTCCAGCAAGACTATAATTATAAAAAAAAAAAAATTATATATATATATAGAGCCCGCAAATTGTCTGTGAGCTGCTTTCCAGCTACAAGGAGAAAAGGAAAACCAGATTATGCAGGAGGGAGATACAGGGAACAGGGATTGGGTGTTCTGCAAAGAGAGTTGGAGGTAAATAATTTTGCAGTAACTGTTATGCTGATGTTGTGGCTGGTCAAGCAAATGTTTGTGCTCGTTTCTGTATGATATAATTGTTCATATCTATTAAAATGCTGATATTCTGGTTTATAACTCCTCCCTGAACTTCCCTCTGCCCTGCATCTTGGTCTCTCATTGGCTGTAGGTCATCACCGATGTAGTTTTCAGTCAGAAATCATTGTGCACAGCGTGATTGTGAATCGCAGACAGCTCCAGATATTTAGCATACAAAATATTTTGCAGGCGTCGGCGACATGTCGGCGATTTCCTCAGATCGTGTCTTTGATCAATCACACTGCGTGATTTGTCACTCGCGTGAACGAGCACCGATTTGCCTCCGATGTCGGGCATTTGTCGGCGATTTCGCGAAACCTGTCGGCGAGTGAAAAATCAGGCTAATATCGTGCAGTGTGAACTCGGCATTAGACCATGCGCTTAGACCGTTAAAATAGGGCCCTAAAGGCGGGCGTACACGGTGCGATTCTGAAGGTCGGAACGTCGTGAGCTCTGGCACATGTCACGATTGAGTTTATCCGAAAATCGTACGGAGGCAGTATGGATTTTAAGGACGAAATAGTTTTCTTTGTGGCAGGCGACTTGTGACGTCCACATGGACTTTCTGTTCTTCATAAAGAACTCAGGCCATTTCTGAATTTCTGCTCGTTTTGCCAGAAATACAACAGGCATATTCATTCATAAAGCTGAATGGCAAATGTGGCACATTCGGAATAACAAATAATAAATAGAACTGTATAATTAAACAAAAATTATTATAGATGTAACAACGTTTGTAGGTCGGGAAGGAGGCGGGAACCGGCGAACACTTCAACAAAACTTTAATAAAATAAACAAACAAAACCAAAACACAAAATAAAATCCAGGCCTAGTCCTCTCTCCTCCAACACTGTTGTCACTCCTTTTATCCTTCCGGAGCTCCTCCGTGGGACTCGAGAACGGTGAGTGGCGCAGGTGTCGCGCATTAGCAATTACTCCACTGGCCTCGCTCCATTCCCACGGCTCTCGGCACCGCCCCTCTCGTCACAATAGACTATAGGGTTTTTGTCATCGTCTGATTGGTCAACTTCAGATGGATTGCCAAATAGTCTCGTTCAACCTCACATACGCCACGAATTTAAACCGACAGCATCCGATTTTTTTTTTTACATGTTTGAAAATTATAGGGAGGACGGGAGGTGCTCGTAATGTCTCGGATCGGCCCGAAATTCTTCTTACACGGTACGAGCCGCGACCATCTGCGATTTTCTCCCGAGAGAAGAAAAAATAAAAAAATAATAAAATTTAGTGATGAGATCTTTGGGTACGGAGGTGACAAATGCCAAAAGCTCTGTTCCCAAACCAAGTTTGCTGCCTACATAGACAGCACTTTATAGTAATCATAGTCCTGCTATTGACATGAAGGCTGCAAAGCTAGGCAGCAACATTATGCTGATACCTAATTTTGATCTAATTCCAAGAAAGCATCAAATATCTCCTTAATGAACAGAACACTCCCAGAATGCACTGCAATACACTAAGTGAACCAAGATTACAGAGGATTATAAAAATATATTTCATTTAATTATGACAAATATGTCATAGTATCATGATTTTAGCTTTGCAACATGCTGGCATCAAAGTCTGAAACTATTCGATTGCAATTTGTTGCTGCCTGTCACTTATAAGGTTCCATTTCAGTTAGAATGCTGCCTATGTAGACAACAGACACTGGTTTTGGAACAGAGCTAACAGTGAAAACAGCCAAAACTGACAACACATTCCTGATTACTTATTAAAAATGGCAGTGCATGGACATTAAGTTGAAGATCACCAAAAATAGCTCTTATGATGAATTGCAAATAAATTTGAACTGAAGCAACATGAAGACATACCAGGAGTGATTACTAATAACAACTGCTGGCAGAGACAGTAGAATAGAACTGTAGAATAGAAAAGTTATTTTAAAATGCAATAATATTTCGAAATATTGCTGTTCTGACAGCATTTTAGATCAAAATGCAGCCTTGGTGAGCATAAGATCAGAAATCTTACCGACCGATAACATTTTGAATCGTAGCGTACATTGAAATTTGCATCATAAATTCCTTGAGATGTTCTTAATAACTAAATGAAAATGAAATTGAAAATGCATTTTCAAACATTCTTCCTAGCATTTGTTTGCATATTAATTTGTGGCTGGTTTTCTTTATTAACCATCGATAACCTCCTATAAAGTTCAAAGATTGTCTCACTGCGTTTACAAAAAACTAATTGCATGGTCGCTTCAAACAATGATGACACCCATGTATAAGGTGGCTTTGATGCAGCATCTCAAAGTCTAAATCCTAGTCTTACCTACAAAATTAATTAATTTGCTGCCCTGCACGCACTGATAGTTCCTGCAGGAAATGCAATTCTAGTTTCAGAATTAAAAAGACGATTTAAAGCAGATGATGTTGAGTTCATCGGAGTTCACCGGCCATGAAATCCAAGAGTGTTAAAGAAAACAAGCAGATGTTTGTTACTCTATTAGTGTAATTCTTCATGCTCAGAACAGGTCGGGGAGGTTTTGTGAGCTTCAGGCAGTTTCCAGTGTTCTAGAGTGAAACTTCTGTAAAGTTTATTCTATCTTGAAATGTGTGTGGGAGAAAGAGAAAGAGAGCAAAAAAAGAATGAAAATGACACTAGAAGAGGGAGAGAAGGGATTTGTACAAGAAAAAGTGTGGTTTGGCCAAGGGTTGTTTCTGATGGTTGCTTGGAGTCCTTTCGGTGAGTTGAAATATTATATAGACGCATGCACACTCATGCATACACAAACACAAACCACACAGAAAGAAAAGGAAAAAAAAATCTGCCGAACACTAAGACTTGTGGCTGCCAGAAGATTATGTAAGTTTAATCAGTATTTTCCTCATGGGCAGAGAAATCCCCTGAGCAACTGTCCACAAACAAAGAGGTCTAAGAGTCAAACTGATCGACAGAAAGAACAGATTCCTTTCACCTCTCGGCTCAGAATAGAAAGTTCTCTCATCACCTTGGGCTGAGCATTCAATAAAGTCTCAATGACAAGAGCTGCCACTGCCATTCAAGGTCAAACTGCTGCTCTGTTTGCAAGGAAAACCAGCTATGTTGCAGAATGGAAGGATAAATGACCAGCTTAAACTATGAGACACTGACAGGAACCTTCAGCTCAGGGAATCTAGCTAAATAAATATCAAGCCCCAACAACTGAACAAATAATAAAGCAGAAGAAGAGTTGAAGATGGACAATGTATCAAGACTTTCTAATACAGGTTCATTCAGAAAAGAGTTACCAACTGCAAACAGTACAGTTACATTTCCTGAAGAAAATCTGGCTGGTGCAAAAGTCAAGCTGAAGTGTTGTGTGGTTGCCAGGGCATTGCTATGCAGTTTCTAAGTTTCCATGAGAATGCAAATGATGCGGTTTAGGAGAGGTTTTGTTCTGAGAGCTCAGATTTATGATTTTCTAGTAATGCATGATAATGTTTTACTTCGAAGGATGGACCAGAGTCATATTTTAATCACTGTTAAAGTAAGATTTTTTTGCCCTATTTATCATCTAGAAAAGCTTAGAAAGGTAATAGCACACCTCTCCTCAACAATTTGCCACCATTTGAGAAATTATTTATGTCCACTGTGCAATGCATCCACATTTAATACTTATAGGGTTAGTTGTTTGTACAAATCCCTAATATAAAACTGAATTCTTGTGTAAATCATTCATACACTATTGTTAAAAAAAGTATTAAATTTTTATTCATCAAGGACTTAAACTGATTAAAAATGACAGTAAGGATATTTAGAATGTTACAAAAAATTTCAAATAAATGCTGTTATTTTGAACTTTGTATTCATCAAAGAATCCGGAAAAAGGTATCACCGTTTCTACAAAAACCTTAGGTAGGAATAAATTACATTTTAAATATATTAAAATAGAATCCATTTCTAATTACAATAATATTTCCCAATATTGATGAACAAAGACTTTAAAAGCATTAAAAATAGGGATGCACCGATACTGGTATCGGGCCCGATACTGAGCTCCTGTACTCGTACTCGTTGAAATGCCCCGATACCAAACGCTGATACCACACAGCATGTGATAAGTGCCATATTCAGACAAAGAAACACCGACAACAGAATGGAGTTATTAGAGATTAAAGATGTCTACGAAGTATATGTATGCAATGAATATAAAACATTCAGTATTAATGCCTGTATAGCTGATTTGCACCAGCTGGTAAGCAAATCACACTGAGTGGATTGAGCGCGCGGCGGCGCAGATGCGCGAGCTTGTCCAGTGACTATCCCTTTCTCACAGACAGCACTGGAAAGTTTGAAGTTCGGTTTTCACCCTTAAGCATACACGACTTTCTGGCGAAAGTGAAACTATGTGAAATGCGCTAGGCTGTACTGTAATTGTCCCTCTCATTCTGCTCCAGTGCAAATATGTGCACGCGTTGCGCGTGTTTTGCTTGCTTCATGAATGTTTCTGCATTATATGAGTGGCTTTGGAAAATAAATCGCTGCACGTTTCAGATGAAAAAAACGCGACTTCTATTTATGAAAATATCACAGTTAGGAGATTTATAGCGAGTGGTTCCCTGCATTTTTAAGGCTAAGGGTCACCCCAAACCTTTGAACACTAGTGTATATACACTAAAATTGCAACAAAAACTAAGAAATTAAGTAGGTGTGTGTGATTGTGCATGTGTATTTATATGTTCAGAACGAGTCTGGGAAAAAACTGAAGTTCAGGTTTGCATGAAGCTGGTTGACAGCATGCCCAGGAGTCTATATGCTGTCATTAAGGCTAAGGGTCACCCCAAACCTTTGAACACTAGTGTATATACACTAAAATTGCAACAAAAACTAAGAAATTAAGTAGGTGTGTGTGATTGTGCAGGTGTATTTATATGTTAGCTTGGGTCTGTCTTTGCATGTGTTTACATTCCTGGGGTGTGGTGATGCTATCAAGAGGGTTTTGTAAGATGAGTGAGCATATCCAGAGGAGCTGGCAAGCCTGAAAAACACCTCCGGTGCAAGACACCCACACACACGCACACCCACATATACATTCAGAGACCCACAGACACACCAGAACCCAGGTGCTACAAACAAGTATGCAAATGTGTTTCTCTACTTATGAGGGCCAGATTTCTGAAAAAGCTCTTGAATAATGGAAAACCTCTTGAAACCAACTTGAGGATACTGAAGCCACACAAACTCCAGTAAAGTTTAAGCTATGCCAAAAGGTTTCAGTAATAGTAATTTGTGAAAGATTGGAAATTAGCTTGTATAGTCAGTTTCAACAGGTTAATTATACCTCAAGTCAAAAGTACTAGTTAACTGGACAACAAATTGATTTAATATTAACATGAACTTACCACTGATGACCTTCAGCACACTGTGGATTGAAGGAAATTGCCTCTTCACCCACTTTTTTTCCTAAAATAAAAAGAAATGTAAACAAAATAAACAAGACGTGACAGACCAGCAGCATCCAATGTGTTTTCAGTCCTAAATACAACAAAAATGTAAAGGTTTATTTTGCAGAAGATGATCATACACCAGTTCACAGCTGGACTAATGAGACTTCCTCTAAAGATTTAAATAGAAATGATAATTGGCCTGCTTCCAAACTTTGACACTAAAGCCTTCATACAGAGAAGTGACTGAAGAACAGCAATTATAAAGGTGCTATAGTAAAAAAAAAAGATCGGAAACTGAACTAGTTGATCCTGTCCCTCCATACACACATGGACCAAGCTGCTATTGTGTTACATTTAATTGGCAGTGAGAGAAGAAGAAACGGAACCGAAAGACAATGAGAGTGCAGACGGATTAAGAGCAAAACACAGGGTACACGGGCATTCATAACCTAAAGACAGACAACACTTGTCTTCTTCACAATTAGTGGTAGTTGTGTTTTCATGAATAAGTCAAGATGGTTCTAAAATAATTAGGCTATAAACAAATCTTAAATCAATTGAATTATATGGCAATTAATTATTTTATTTTTCAATGCTACTTCATGGTAGTCGAAAGCAAGCACTAAATTTTAACCACTATGTCAAATTATTAAATTCTGGCACAAATGTCAGCAATTTATAAATAAATGTCAACCTGTAGTCATAAAAGCTGTGGTTACCATTCTCAGCGCAGCTCTTCTTCTCTGCAAGGTCTACAGCAAAATCATGTGCGTCTGCATAGGCTCTGGACAACCGCCAAAGGTACTGGCACTTCTGATCGAACTGTAAGCACATACATAACGCGTGTTAATAAAACATTCTACAAATAAACCAGAAGCCATCGTACACCAAAATTTGGGGTAAGTAAGATTTTAAAATGTTTTTGAAGAAGTCTCTTATGCTAACCAAAACTTGGTAAAAAAAAAAAGAAAGTTAAATTGTGAAGCATTATTTTGATTTAAAATAAGTTTTCACTCAAATTCCTAATTTGGTGCTCGTTCTTATTATTATCAATCTTGAAAACAGCCGTTCTGCTTAATATTTTTGTGGAAACGGAGAACATTTTTTTCAGGATTCTTTGATGAATAGAAAGTTAAAAAGAACAGGATTTATTTGAAATAGTTACAATCACTTGTAACATTATAAATGTCACTTTTAATCAATTTAATGGATACTTGTTGAACTAAAGTATTAATTTCTTTCAAAAACATTAAAGGAAATTATACTGACCCCAATTTTGAGCTGTAGTTTGCATACCTCTGCTTTCCTCTCCAGCAGAGCATTCAGGCCTTGTGCTTTCTCGGCCCCGTTACAGCTGTGCAGTCGGTCTGCTTTCCGCAGCAGGGCCGTGAGCTCATCCACTGGTTCCTGCAGTGGCTTTCGGTCATCGTCACTTTCCTCCTCCTCAGAATCTGCCAGTGCCGTTATATACCTGTAGCACACAGCAGAGAAGACAGTGAGCCTATATCTGCTGTTATGATTAAATTGGCCTCTTATGAGACTGAAACTTGACAGACCAAAAAGCTGTTGTGTTACACAGGAATGTCAGTGCTTGACAACAAGGACGTAATTTACATGTTAATTCGGTTAAATGTATTTTGGAAAGCTGAAGTGACTCTTCAAAGGAACAATTCACCCAAAAATGAAATTTGCTGAAACATTATTCACCCTAAGGCTATCCAACATGTAGAGGAGTTTGTTTCTTCAAGGGAACAAATTTGGAAAATGTTAGCATTACATCACTTGCTCACCAATGGGTGCCGTCAGAATGAGTCCAGAACAGCTGATAAAAACATCACAATAATCCACAAGTAATCCACATGACTCAAGTCCATCAGTTAACATCTTGTGAGGCAAAAAGCTGTGTGTTTCTAAGAAAGAAACCAATCATAATGTTTTTTGTCTTGTCTGAATCACTGTTTACAAACAAAACCAGTCCAAAACAGTTCTAAATCAAATATGTTGTTGATTTTGATGTGAGAGGAAAACAGGAGGAAGCGTTATTATGGACTCATTTTGGCCAGAAACGGCATTGATTGATGGACTGGGGTCGTGTGGATTATTGTGAGGTTTTTATCCACTGTTTTTACTCTCATTTTGACGGCACCCATTCACTGCAGAGGATCTATTGGTGAGCAAGTGATGTAATGCTAAATTTCTCCAACTCTGTTCTGATGAAGAAACAAACTCATCTATATCTTGGATGGCCTGAGCGTGAGTAACTTCTCAGTAAATTTCATTTTGGGCTGAACTATTCCTTTAATTCAAGACAAACTCAAATACATTCACATTACAGAGGCCAAGTGGATTTTTAAATGCTTTACAGTATCTTCAACATAAAAGATACCTCTCAGGAAGCTCAGGCAAAACAACATGCTTAAAATGTGTTTTCCCTACACAAGAGACAGAAGGTAAAGGAATTGTATTTGGAGGCCAAGCACAAATTCGGTAATGAATGTACAAACTTATAGGCATTCTTCTCACATAGGTCACTGATGCAGTCAGTAATGGATATGCATTCATAAAGTGTTTACATGCAAAACATCCACAGGATCTGTGCACATGTGACGAAGGCTAATTAACGGTTTATTGGGATTGCCAGTTTCAGACTGACACCTGAAGGCTTTCATGTAAAAACACTGTGAGGGTTGTTTATTTTTCTTACAACAAGGCACGCAATACCTGCCTAACATTTACAGCCTTCGAAAAGCGTCCCTTTTCAATGACTGTAGGCGTGCACTAGCACTCTCAGCAGCCGAGATGAGTGCGTAAAAACAATTACAGGTTAAGGTACAAAATGAAAGACTTGAGAAAAAGTGAAAACATAAAAGGCTCCCATTAAGAGCTGGCACCTGAAGCATTTGCGTCATTCGCGGTTTGTGAGAACATTTGAGACTTCGAGCGATAGTTCTGCAGGGATGTGTTGGAGCTGGAACCTCCGAGGGCACTTCAATGTTACATACAAGACGGTCGCTCATGACAGTCAAAGGAAATCACCCACAGCTGGTGTGTTTTTGATTTAAGGGGCTACAGTTACACATGAACTGCCAGACATCTGAGTCATTTTGGCCAATCTCATCAGTCTGTCTGAAATGATATCGTTCTCAGAGCCTCATTATGGCTAAACGTATACTGGCAACTCTTTTTCTGCAGTGTCATCCAGACATAATTATGTGTCACATACCAAAACTAACTCGATTTGGATATCCTCAATGCAACACAAGCAATAAACAACAAAAAACAAAATACATATACTACAAGTTTGGAAAACTATCACTTTTGATAGAAATCTCCTACGCTCACAAAGCTGCATTTATTTGACCAAACAGAGTAAAAACAGTAATATTGTGAAATATTATTAGAATTTATGAAACAGTTTTTTTTTTGCTTTATTATATTTTAAAATGCAATTTATTCCTGTGATGCAAAGCTGAATTTTCAGCAGCAATTACTTCAGTCCCAGTGTCACATGATGAGTGAAATTCAATCAATCATTTACAGAAAAGCAATTATTCATTATTATTGGTGCTCAATTACTAATAATGCTTCTTCAGAGCCTCATTATGGCTAAACGTATACTGGCAACTCTTTTTCTGCAGTGTCATCCAGACATAATTATGTGTCACATACCAAAACTAACTCGATTTGGATATCCTCAATGCAACACAAGCAATAAACAACAAAAAACTAAATACATATACTACAAGTTTGGAAAACTATCACTTTTGATAGAAATCTCCTACGCTCACAAAGCTGCATTTATTTGACCAAACAGAGTAAAAACAGTAATATTATTAGAATTTATGAAACAGTTTTTTTTTGCTTTATTATATTTTAAAATGCAATTTATTCCTGTGATGCAAAGCTGAATTTTCAGCAGCAATTACTTCAGTCCCAGTGTCACATGATGAGTGAAATTCAATCAATCATTTACAGAAAAGCAATTATTCATTATTATTGGTGCTCAATTACTAATAATGCTTCTTTGTATTGTCAGTGTTGAAGTTTTTGCTGCTTAATATTTAGAAATCATGATACTTTTTTAGGATCCTTTGATGAAACAGAAATCTTTTGTAACATTATGAATGTATTTGTCACATTTGATCAAATTAATACTTCCTCACTGAATAAAATTTACTTAGCATTCATTTACTTTCAGAATATCATGATACTTTTTTAGGATCCTTTGATGAAACAGAAATCTTTTGTAACATTATGAATGTATTTATTGTCACATTTGATCAAATTAATACTTCCTTACTGAATAAAATTTACTTAGCATTCATTTACTTTCAGAAGTATACATTTTTTTTCTTATTTACCCCAAACTTTTGAATGGTACCATTTCACGGTTTCCACAAAAATAATAAGTAAAACAAACTGTTTTTCAAAAATGTTTCTTGAGCGGGATATTTGAATTATTTCAAGGATTATGTGAGACTGAACACTGGAGTAATGATGCTGAAAATGTAGTTTTCCCATAACAGGAATAAATTACATTTAAACAGTTATTTTAAATTGTAATAATGTTTCACAATTATTGCGGTTTTACTGTATTTTTGATCAAATAAATACAGCCTTGAGCGCAACAGGATTTTCAAAAACATTTAAAAAATATGTTAATTAAAGTCTGAATGAAGTTGTCTTTCCTCTATCTGGATTGAAGGACACAGCCACACCCAGGAAAAATAGAATCTTCCACAGGGATCATTTCGATGCCAATCTTTTATCTCCCTCTTTGTGTGGCCGTCATGAGCAGAACTGCAAATTCAAGAGTGCAGTGTTTGTTTGAGAGCACGTCTTACATCCGTCCTCAGCAAAGATCAACAACTGTCAAGGATCTGGCTGAACACTCAGATCTCAAGCATCATTTGGATGAACATTACCCAACATCATTAGCACAAAAGTTTGCCTTTGCATTAGGCCTACTTCTCTGCTTCCGTTTTGTTTATCTTTGCGGGGCAGTGAAAACCAAGTCTAATCATCACATCTCTTCATTTGACGTACAAACACAAAAATGCAAACTAAAACAATTTTTTTTGCCTTTGCAGTTGCATTTTACAATTTTGCAATAACAACTCATTTATGTTCAGAGCAAAGAGTTTTGATTTTGCACACAGAAGTAATACAGTTCGAAAGCTACCAAGTCTAATCATCACATCTCTTCATTTGACGTACAAACACAAAAATGCAAACTAAAACAATTTTTTTTGCCTTTGCAGTTGCAGTTGCATTTTACAATTTTGCAATAACAACTCATTTATGTTCAGAGCAAAGAGTTTTGATTTTGCACACAGAAGTAATACAGTTCGAAAGCTCTGTTCATTCTCATAGCCCTGATGAATATGAAATCAAAATAACCCTCTGTAATGATGAATGAATTTCTACGGTCCAAACTGCACTTAAAGTGGAACCAACATTTCCAGTTGTCAAAGAGTTCAATGCAATTGTGAAAATGCCACATGGGGGGGGGGGGGGGGGGTCTTCTGTGTGTGTTTTATTTTTTTCATTT